CTAGATAAGAGTAAAGCTGCTTGTAGATTAGTTTTTCAAATATTTTTGACAAGTTTGGCAGGATTGATATAGGTCTAGTTGTTAACATCAGTGAGATCACCACATTTGTGGACAGGGGGTTACTCTCACTTTTTTTTAGAATATCTGGAAAGGTTTGGAGTTCAAGTGACTTGTTGAAGAGCAATGCAATAGCAGGAGCTAAAGATCTTTAGGCTTTTTTGTAAATTGAAGTTGGTATCTCCTCAAGCTCACTAGACTTGGTTTCAAGGGAAAGGATTATCTCATGAACATCAGTGGAATTTGCAGGCATTAGGTACAGAGACTGGATAGTTACCTGTAAGATAGTCCTGAACATCAGTACTGAAAGATGGAATATCATTTGCAAGGGATGACCCAGTGGAAGAGAAGAACCTATTGAACTCAATAGCAGTTTCAGAGGCTGTAAGCTGACATTCGTTGTTGGACAGGAGTATTGGTTTGTTATTTAAAATCTTCTTTGATCCCAATATTTGTGAAATTGTGCTCCATGTTTTCTTAATGTTGCCCTTTGTTTGGGTAAATTTATCTTCATAGTATTTAATTTTGGCTCTTCTAATTATTTTAGATAGCAATGATGAGTAATTCTTGAAAAATTCTTTGGAGACGATTCCTAATCTATACTTCTTCTCAAGGTCATGTTTTTTAATAATGGATTTAAGTATTCCCTTTGTAAGCCAAGGATTGTTTAGCCTTATTGTTGTGACTTGTTTCGTTAGCATTGGACAGTGGGTGTTATAAAGGCTGAGAGTTTTTTGAAGAAAAGATTTCACTGCTTGGTTGATGTCCCCTATGTTACCTAATTCGGACTTCCAGTTGACATTAGCAGCAGCAGTTATAAAATTGCCTATAGCAGTTTCATTGTGCAGCCTAAGGCTTATCTCCCTTGTCTCTAGTGGTGGTTTGTTAATGTTAGGAGAAATGTGGGGTAATGGTATGTAGTGCTATCGATGATTATCTCTGAAGTAAGTGGAGAGGTTATGTTGGTCCAAATGTGATCAAGAGCCGTGGCAGTACTATCAGTGATTCTAGTAGGTCTAGTGATTAAGGATATGAGGAAGCAGGAATTCATACAGTTGAGGAAGCTAGCATCAGTAGGGTCCTCAGGCTCGCAGAGGCCAATATTAAAGTCCCCTGCGATAATTAGATGGTTTTTGTTCAGTCTGTTATCTAGTATTAGATTTCTAAGGTTAGAGTTGAATTCGGACACATCAGTTTTAGGAATTCTATAGACTGCTTCCACAGTCAGGACGGACTCAGCACCCTTGACTCTGAAACTGGCGAAGATATACTCCCCACAGTAGTCTCTAGTTCTAATTACTTTAAAGCATGTCAGTTCTTGGTGGTAGTAAAGAGCAGTACTATACCACCACCTCTCTGAATTGGTCGACAGTTGTGAATTGCTGAGTAGTTTGACATGTTAAAGAGTTGAGTAGTATCCTCTATTAACCACGTTTCAGTAAGTATAATAAAAGAGAGTTTGTTGTCAACAGTTTCAATTAAGGCACTAACATCATTGAAGTGTTTGCTTAGAGATCTTACATTCAAGTTAATTACAAAGATATTGTGATTATGTGTTAATACATTGTTTACATCATGTGTTGTAAAATATCTGCAATTTTGATAATTAAAGTGATGATTGTCATAGATAGTGGATATGGGGTTAAGTTCCGGGTCTATCTCTTTCTTAGATAATGCCCAAAATTTACAAGGAAAAGGAAAAAAAATCAAATCGTCAGTAAAAACAGTGCAAGCTAAGACCCCAAACAAATGCTGAAGTACATAATAATCACAACAGACCTTCTTGAGACCTGATCTGAAGGCTACAGGACCCATAATTTTCTCATGAGGAACATGTCTGAACCCTTCACCCAAATTATCCCAATTCTCCCCTACCCTATTTGTACTGTAATTATAACAAAAACTAGATCATAATTGTAACAAACAAAATATTTTTGCTACTGTATTTTATTCTTAGTTTTTGGGATTCAATAGATAGAATTTTTTTTGACAGACACATCATCAATTAGTAATGTTACAATTATAATATAAAATAATGTTTCAGTTCAGTAATGAGTTTAAACCTTTCATTGCATAATTAGGTTTCAAAAAGTGAATAATTTTAAGATTTGCATTTTAAATACTGGAAGTAAGGAATACTGTAGTTTGATTGTCATAATACAGGTATTGTACATTATATTAATAATACAGTACTAGTAATTTTGATTATTTGTTTTTTTTACATAAGAGTGATAGTGGTTTAATAATTGTTAGAGATTATGTATATTTATTTAATAAGGCCAGTAATATGCAAAGGATTTTGAGCATAACTTAAAATAATTGAATTATGTTTAAAGGTTAGATGAAGTAGACAATATTAAACCATTAGTAAACTAACATAAATTGTTCAAAAAATGTTGCAAATGACATACAATTGCAAGAAAAGTTGCTAGTCATGTGTAAAATAGATTTAATTCATAAATATCGGGAATTACATTTAGTTGATTCAGCCTCTTTATTTTAGGGATGGGTTACAAAAGAGTTTTTAGTTTATTTCGTTTATTATGCATCCTATACCCATCTTGTGGGTGGTAGTGGAAAGGTTTACAGAGGCACATAATGGGTTCAGGGACTGAACCCCACAATTCATTTAGCTAAGCCAGATACAATCGTGACGAGCTGGTTTCAAAATTCAATACAAATTCCTGCCTGAATTCCAAATTCAATTCCTGCCCGAAAAGCTGCTCATACTAATGGCTTTACAAGAATGTAATTACTATGCTATGTATCCTCACAATCCCCATGTGCCTTCTTGTATGTATATAAATATAAATAAATAAATACACATCGTTACATCATTAATGGGTTTGAGATTGACCACAAATAGTTTCTAAATTAAGCAACTGACATATGAAGAGAGCTAGTGTCACATTTGATATGTTTGTCCTGCACACTGTCCTCCATCCAGGAGGCAGTGGTGGATAGGTTACAATCACTTAGTTACTACCTACAGTGAGCAAACTGGGGATATTTGGTCAAGATTTTTGATAGCAGATCATTTTGAATGAAATATTTACACATCTTTGGAACCTTTGTTATAGAATTGTCTCTGAATTCACGTATCTTTTTATGTATGGGTATGCGAATAATTTTGTTGACACAGTTTACAATTGGTCAGGTCGACATCAGTGAGAATTTCCAGAGATACTTGTAACTGAGTCTAAGCCAAGCAGTAATAACATCTAGAAGTCTGCTGATTTTATTGAATGATCCATAGATGTGTGGCTCCTCTGCATGAAAGTATGATGATGATGGAATTACTGGTGTTGATTTCACTTTGCCTCAGAGCTACGAGGTTATGTTGAGGTTCTTGGTGTACTATTGCTCTCAGACTGGTTATTGACAATCCAAGGTTATACTCAATTTCTCCTTTAAGGACAGATTCTTTGGCTTCATCATGCATTCAGAGGCCAACATGAGATGGAGTCCACCTGAAATGGACTCTGTTACCATCATTAATAATGTTGTTGTATTTGTGTCTAGTCTCAGACACAAGTATGTTATATTATATCTTAAAGAGTTTAGAGCATTTAAGGATGATAAAGAGTCACTTACAATTAATGTATCAAGTTTGGAGACTTGTACACATTTCAATGCAAGAACCAAGGCAAATTGTTCGGTCTGAAGGGTAGAGGCCCACACACAAAGAGATACTTAAAATTTAGTTATTTGTCATCAATAAAAATTATACTAAAACCAAATTTTGTTAACATTACAAAAGTGCCCCCCACCCATGCAGTCATTGGCAATCCACAGCCAGCTAGACTCACAGCTTAAACTTACTAGGGGACATAACTCAATGTATCAGAACTGTAAAAACTTGATGCATCAAAATAGAAAACGAATTGATATGAATCTGGAGGATACAGTGGTACCTCGGAATGCGAGTGTCCCTGTATGCGAGTTTTTCGGAAGACGAGCAGGATTTCCTCGGAAAATATGTCTCGGAAGGCGAGGGTTACCTCGGAACGCGAGTTTGTTGATACGTGTACAGGCTGACTGGCGCGTGGTGGCATGGCGATCGCGCCTCAGTTTACCAGTGTCTCGTGTCCAGTGACTATCCCTCCTGAATTCTTCACAAGGATTTACAGTTTTTTATCGTTTTTTTTTGCCATTTCAGCATAAAAGTTGTCATTATATATCTTGCCATGGGTCTCAAGAAAGCCATTGGCAAGGTTCAACCTAAGAAAATAGCTGTGAGTAGAGGCAGTAGAGGATGTCCCTTCTTGATTAAGAAAATGTGTGAAGTATGGGAAGAATTGCAAAGTTTTGTTGAAAAAACTCACCCAGATAAAGCTGTAGCAGGCCGTTGCATTGACCTTTTAAATGATAATGTGATGTCTTACTACAGACAAGTGTTAAAATGTAGGGAAAAACAAGTGTCATTAGACAAATTCTTAGTAAAACAAGCAAGTCCTAGTGGTATGCAGGCAAAATGTGCCAGAGTGTGTGCATACCAGTGAAGTCCTCACTGCCTGATGTGATAATGGAAGGGGACTCCCCTTCCAAACAGTAACTCCTCTCTTCCTCCCACCTCCTCACCATCTACCATACGCCTACAGCATTCAACAGCAAGGTAAGTAATAACTTGAACATAGTTTTGTAGGTTTATTTAGATGAATTAGGTATAAAAATTTAGTTTGATGTGGGGTTTTTGGGGTAGTCAGGAACGGATTAATTCATTTCCCTTTATTTCTTATGGGGAAATTAGCTTCGGAATGCGAGTTTTCGGAATACGAGGCGTCTCCAGGAACCAATTAAACTCTTAAACTGAGGTATGCCTGTATGTTTGAACTTCATAGCAAAAGCTTAATTATCAAGACCAGTGTTAAATGTTTAAAATGTACTTGATAAGACTCATAAGGTGGCCATTGTATATCTCATGTGTATAATGTAACTTACAGGGTGGAATGCGTGGCCGCGGCAGAGGAGGACAGTCAAATGGATACTTCTCAAGCTCATCTGATAACATAGGTAAGTGAAAGTTTTGAATCAGTGTACTGTACTGTATATCCAAGATACTGTACTTATAGTATCATTTTACCAAGCTTTCATGGTTGGCTGTTTCATCTCAAACATCGAAATATACACAGTTTCATATTTTTTCACAAAGTTGGTATTATCCAGGTGTTAGAACTTCTGTAAATACTAATAAAAAATAAAATTTTTGTAATGTTTTCTTTACTTAAATCTTTAATCAACCTTTTTTGTGGAGAGCCCCTTCGGCTTCCTGGAGCTTACCTGGTTGATATGTATGTATTAGACCATGGCATCAGTCAATGCGATGGAGTTCTAGCCTACCAGGGACCACGAGCCAGAATCTGGCCCCCTCTGAGAGGCATGAGGAGCAATGGCCTATTGACAACCAATGTATCCTCACTTGAATGAATTATATGGGGCAAAGTCGATTCGTTCGAGTGCAGAATTCGTTCCATCCTTCCGGCCCAAACAACCCTCTTAAAAAAAAAAAAAAATTCTTAAAAGATTCCTAAAGAATATTTCTTAAAGTTTTGTAGCGTTCTACTAGTCCCTCATATCCTTATTAAGCATCCACCAGACTTCTCTGACATCATTCCTCACCACTGACACCATCCCCCACCACTAGACTTCTCTGATACTATTCCCCACCACTGACAACCCCCCCCCCACTACAAAAGACACTACTCCCTCACCACAGACACCACCATTTATTATGAATTCTTCATTTTGACTACGGAATATAATCAAGTGATGTGCTACAAGCAACTGAAATGTTAAAATGTTCTCGAGTTTAGTTCGAGCTGTATTGAGGCAGCAGCGGGGAGCCACATGGGGGCAGCAGTCAGCTGGTCACTCAGGCCAGACTTGGAGGCGTCTCACTCACCATGCCTGCCCGACACTCCCTTAGAGGCTAGCTGTCTTCCTAACCCTTCTAATACATCCCCATCACCATTGACACCCCCATTTATTATGAATTCTTCATTTTGACTATGGAATATGATAGAGCATGTTACAAACAACTGAAATGATAACATTTTCTCAGCTAATTTATTAAAAAAGCAGACAGTGAGTGAAACATTGAGGTGGCGCCAGCCATATGTTGCCAATCACTGTAGCCGAGAGCTCACACCCACCGACACCTGCCTCCCTTGACAACAGCTTCCACCACTGACACCACTTGCCTCCGCTGACAACAACTTCCACCACTGACACCACTTGCCTCCGCTGACAACAACTTCCACTACTGACACCACTTGCCTCCCCATGACAACAACTTCCACTACTTGCCTCCCCTGACAACATCTTCCACTACTGACACCACTTGCCTCCCCATGACAACAACTTCCACTACTTGCCTCCCCTGACAACATCTTCCACTACTGACACCACTTGCCTTCCCCTGACAACAACTTCCACTACTTGCCTCCCCTGACAACATCTTCCACTACTGACACCACTTGCCTCCCCATGACAACAACTTCCACTACTTGCCTCCCCTGACAACATCTTCCACTACTGACACCACTTGCCTCCCCATGACAACAACTTCCACTACTTGCCTCCCCTGACAACATCTTCCACCACTGACACCACTTGCCTTCCCTGACAACAGCTTCCACCACTGACACTAACAGTCTTTTCTGACAACACTAACTCCATCTGCCTCCAATGAGAATAACTTCCATCACCTGGCTCCTGACACTAAACCCCAACTACTAATACCACTTGCCCCCTGACACTAAGCCTCATCAGGGACACCTCCTGCCTCCCCTGACACCATTTTATCATCCTTCAACCATTTCTCACTGAAAACAATGTGTAAGCAAAATAAAACATTGTATAACTGTTTACACTTTGGTGAATCATAATTGATGACAGCCACGTCTGATGCTCGGTCTCAAAAAACCGCTTGAACAAACAATCCTCACTTAATCGAACATCTGTATGTTCCACTGAACATTTAGTACCGAATTCAATTTGTTTGGATCATCCGGGAATTCGATAGATCGAGGATTGAGTGATAGAGTGAGGATGCACTGTAGTTGGAAGCACTATGTATGCCATCTAGCAGGTCAGGCACCCAGAAAGGTAGGAATCCCAAAACAAACTACAGCTGGTTAAAAATTGTAAGGGTCGTCGGCCCTGCGGTTGAGTTGGGTGGCTCCTCTTCCTTCAGGGAGTTCAGGACTAGCTGGGCAGGCCTCTTTCCCTGCACTCTGTCAGGTTTTCCTGGAGTTGGTATGCTTGGGCATGGTCAAAACGACGGTGTCCCTCGGGTGGGTTTCCCGCTTGTTTCCAGTTCCGAAACGGGACTGTGCAGATCTGGTTCATTCTGGACTTGTTCCATCTGAACTCCTGGGTCTTTTGCCCCTCTTTTCAAAAGACAACTTTGTCCCAGGTCCGGCTGCTTTTGGAGCCTGGTGCTTAGATGGTGTTCCTGGACCTCTGTGGGACACGTATTGGTACTTCCCGATTCATCTGGGGTTCAGGGGCTGGCTTGGTTTAGTCGTGGGGTGGCACGCTTACCGCTCTCATTGCCTTCCATTCAGGTTGAATCTGGCGCCTCGTGTTTTTACACACCTTACCCTTGTCGTGGTGACCCATTTGCATCTGTTAGGGGTTCGGATTCTGGCTTACCTCGACGACTGGGTGGTCTGGGTTTCCAGGCAGTCTGCATGTCTGCTCGCCAGGGATTTTGTTCTTTCCCAGCTCGCCAGGTTCGAGTTCTTGATGAACTGGAGGAAGTCCCATTTGGTTCCATCTCAGGTTTGGACTTAACTGGGTTTTGTGTGGGACTCTCAGACCGCTTCCTTGTCTCTCCCTCCAGCAGCGTTACTGCGGCTGAAGTCTCGCCTTCGGCTGCCTTTTGGAGGCACCCAGGTCACTTGTTGGTTGTTCGAGCAGTGTGCAGGAGTCTGAACTTCGCCGTGTTTGTCTACCCGTTGGGTCGGATCGCCGTGTTGGTCTACCTGTTGGGTCGGATCACCGTGTTGGTCTACCTGTTGGGTCGGATCGCTGTGTTGGTCTATCCATTGGGTCGGATCGCCGTGTTGGTCTACCCGTTGGGTCGGATCGCCGTGTTGTTCTACCCGTTGGGTCGGATCGCCGTGTTGGTCTACCCGTTGGGTTGGATCGCCGTGTTGGTCTACCCGTTGGGTCGGATCGCCGTGTTGGTCTACCCGTTGGGTCTGATCTGGCTTCAGCTGTTGTTCTGGTTCCTTCAGGGACATCCCTTCCGCCGCTCTTGCGATCACTGGGTTCAGACTCCTTTGGCCTTGCATCGGCTGCTGCATCGCCGGCTTCCTCTTCGGGGTTCAGTGCCTACTCGAGCCCTCGCTCGATGTGTTCACAGACACTTCATCTCTCGGCTGGGGTTTTGTGACCAGTGCTCACCAGTCCAGCCAGGGGCGGTTGGGTCCGTCGGGCTCACAGTACAGTGCGCGAGTTTGCAGAGGTGTGATTTTCGCTTTGGGGGGGGTTCATGTCTTTCGCAGAGCGACGATTCGGCTCTATTTGGATTGCTCCCTGGTGGTTCATTGCCTGAATCGAGGAGATTTGATGTGGTCCTTGGCTCTTCGGGACTGGTCGCTTCGAGTGACTCGTCTGCTGAGTTCTCAGGGTTTGGCTCTCCTGGCGGTTCATATCCAGAGGGTGTCCAATGTCCTGGCAGACAGCCTGTCCCAGTTCATTCCCGTCCATGAAATGGACGGTCGATGCCGACTTGTTTTGTTGGCTCTGCCAAACGTTTGGGCGCCTGGAGGTGGACCTCTTTGTGTCAGCTTGGTCTAGATGTCTTCTGATAAATGTGGCACCCTTCCTCAACTGCGAGGTTGTCAGGGTCGACGCCTTTCGACTGGACTGGTTAAGGTGGGGTTACCTGTACCTCTTCCCCCCTGGTTCGGTTGTTGCTCCAGGTCCTGGTTTGCTTGTAGACTTACCAGGGGAGAGTAGTTCTATTGGCCTCTTGGTGGCTGGCCCTGCCTTGGTTTTGGGCACTGCTTGCTCGGTGTCCGAACCCGAGGGTCTACCCGCAGCTCCGCCTCTTTCAGCAGATCGGTCCAGTCCGGTATGTGGCTGGTTCAATCTTCTCCTCTGATCTTTGCGTCTTGTCTTTTTGATGCTGGTTTATCACCACTTGTATTGTGATCAGGTTGCTTCATTGATGATGTCCAACCTGCGAGTTTCGTCTCGGCGGCAGTATGAAGTTTCTTGGTGGTCCATTCAGCACTTCTTGACTGTAGGTTCAAGAAGTGCTGAACCTCTGTTCAGCACTTCTAGGTTGTCTTTGATTTCTGATTCGAAGACAATCGAATTGTTATAGGCTGTCATCGATTTTTGATTAGGGTTGTTTTGTCCTTTCTTTCTTGGCTGTTTCAGGACCGTCATCTTATATTAAATACTGCCGCCTCGTATCGCGTAGAGCTGGCGGAGCCGCTTCAGCTTGCGTTCGGAGTGGATGTCACTTCTGCTCCGTTCTGCAAGCTTTCTCGGGCATTGTTTCACCTCTAGCCTGCTCATGTGACACCTAAACCGTCCTGGTCGTTGGACTGGGTGCTATCTTTTCTCTCTTCTCGGTTTGTGGTAGCCCTTTGGTTCAGGACTGTTATTCTAAGGCTTCTTTTCTTGTTGGCATTGGCCTCTGGGTGTCGGCATCACTCCCTCCCTCCCTTCAGTTTTTTTTTCTCGGTCTCTGAACTCGGGTTAGGTAGCCTGTGCGGGAGGTCTGGGGCTTCCCCTTCCCCCTTCCAGGAAGGGGGAAAACTGCGCAGATAGGGCCGCAGTGGCTGTTGTGATGTCTTGCTTATTTGCTTGTTTTCTGATTGGGGAGTTTTGCCTGCTTGTTTGTCTTTTGGCTTGCAATTTTGAACCAGCTGTTTGTTTTGGGATTCCTACCTTTCTGGGTGCCTGACCTGGTACATGGCAGATATAGACTGCTTCTAACTACATGGGGGTGTCTATAGGTCATTGCTCCTCCTGCCTCTCTGAGGGAACCAGGTTCTGGCTCGTGGTCCCTGGTAGGCTAAGAACTCCATTGATTGACTGTTGCCATGGTGTAATATATATGCACATCAGCCCGGAATAGCTCCGGAAAGCCTCCAGGTCTCGCCTAGAAAATGGCATTTCATTACATTCAACGCTTTTTTTTATTGTGGCCAATTTCTTATTTTTTTCAGATTCTGATAACAGATTTAAAGTCCATCGACCTCAGATTTACCGAGGGGCAGCCCCTCTGGTGGGACAGGGACAGATATTGGGTGGATATTCTGTGGATGAAGACAGGAATTTTGGCCATGATCGCACAATGCTAAAGTTTCTTGACAGAAAGTACTTACCAGAAGATGGAGAGGATATGAAGGTGAGCTAAATAAATTTGAGTGAACTATACATTTATAGTTCACTATATATAGTATACAGTGTATATATATAATATATATATATATATATATATATATATATATATATATATATATATATATATATATATATATATATATATATATATATATATATATATATATGACAATGTCAGACCACGGAGGAAAAATGAAACAGGAAATTTCCTTAAGTACTTTCGTATATTAACACTTTCGCGCTCTCGGCGAAGGTCACTCAGCCAACCGTATGTGCGCGCGGCGTTTTTATCGCTTAAGCGTAAAAACAAAAATGTGTATACTCTTTTTACTTTTCTGACCTTAGTTTTCATGCTACGTATTTCATTTTGGTACCAACGTGTTCGCAATAAAATTCTCTAGAAGAACATCAATAAAAAAAGTCACGAAAGCTATAGAGATACCAGCATGAAATAAATAACTACGAAGATGAGTCGCCGTGAGCGCTCAACAGCAACAAAATGTTTTTACTCTTGGGATTATTATCACCTCTACAATTGTCCTACAGCCTTAATTTTGGTATCAATGGACTCCCAATAAAATTCCCAACACGGTGATATGAATATAATCGTAGAATAATGGTCCCGGCCCACCCGCAAGAGTGTGGGAAGTGGGTGCACTGTTACCCGGTAACGGTGACCGGACGACACACGCGCGAAACGTTGCTTTGAAAGTTTATACTTATTTCACTGTTCTGATATTATTATTGTATGTATGTCATTCATTTTTGTGGCAATGTTTTCGCAATAGAATGTTCTATGAGCTAAATTATACTACACAAACTTGAACCAAATATGTGTACTTACCAAGGGAAGGCTGGTTGTGGAACAGTAAGTTGAGCATTTGTTCTTCACTCCACCTTCTTCAGGTTCTTCATTCCTGAAGTTGCTCAACAGATGGTTTGTAGGTGGAGTGAAGCTGTTGTGGGTGGTTACTTCTTCACCACCCAATACACCTGTTTCCGGTGGTAATTGGTGTAGCAGGGAACAACACAGAGTGCAACACCACAGGTCTTGCATCCATAGTTCGTGTCCTTCCTTTTACCGGACCGTGCGCATGCATGACACTTGAGACGTTTAGGCAGTCTGTAAATTTCATGTTTCAGTTTGTAGTTCATGCGATTTTCTGAATCAACAATAGGGCGGCCAGGTCCTCTCGCTGGAGGTGTAACAGGAGTTGCAGGAGAGTCAGATTCATCTGACAAAACAGTTTCGTCAACTGGCAGTGTGGCAGACATGTCGGGTTCAGATTCGTTGTCTGCTTCATCTTGAGGTGGTGTAGTGAACAAAGGCCGCCTCACACCAGATGGTCCGGGAGTTGGCATGGCGTCAGCATTGGCAATAGCTGTGTCATCATTTATGTCTGGGGCGTGCCGCAAGTGTTGAGATGATGATGTTGTTTTAGGCCACTCCTCTGTGTCCCAGTGCAATAGGGCCCAGATTGCCACTTCGTGGAACTGTAGCAATGTTAGCTTTTTTTGATCAGTTGTGTTGTATATGTACAAAACATAGGCATTATGCAATGCCATTTGCAGGAAATAAAAGGTAATCTTTTTGGTCCACTTGTGAGTTTTCCTGGTAAAATGGTAATATTTAACCATTTGATCGAAATGGTCCACACCTTTCATGAACTTATTGTACTCGCAAATTGCAGTTGGTTTGTTCACTGTTACCTGTTGTATTCCACTTGTTCCGTCTCGGTTGCGAATTCGCTTCCTTCGCTGAACTCGCTGAGTGCCTGCATTGTGGATGTTGGTAATGATTGAAACCACTCGCTTGTCTTTCCACAGGAGAATGAAGGTATTATCTTTGCGGCGGTATACTGTGGTATCCAGTGGAAGTTTACCCTTGGTTAGAGCTTGCAATACCTTTGGGGCACCACGTAGCATTCTAATTGTGCCACATGTGTACACCCCAAGTTCTCTCAATGTTTCTGTCAGGGTAACCGAGTTGTAGTAATTATCCATGTACAAATGGTAACCCTGGTTCACTAAAGGCTGCATCAACCCCGTTACTGTATCCAGTATCGTCTTACCAATACCTGAGTATACGTCAAAGTCATATATGTACCCAGAGACAGATTCAGCAAGCATATAAAGTTTCACACCATACTTGTCTGGTTTGTTTGGATTGTACACTTTGAAGGATAGTCGGCCTCGCCATGCCATTGTACCCTCATCCAAACACAACTCTTTCTTGGGGATGTAAACTTGAGCAAACCTCTCTTTCAAGTAATCCATCACTGGTCTCACTTTTATCAACTTATCACGATTGTTCACGGGCACTGCATTGGTATTGAATGTGTGGAAAAACTGGTTTATATGCTGGAATCGTCTGGACGGCATGAACAAGCTGAAGAAACGAGCATGCCATGGCTTTGCTGTTTGCCAATACATCCTCATAGTTGGGAGCCTAATTATGCCCATCAATATGAACAGTCCTAGGAATCGCGCCATTTCACTCACCTTCACTGGGGTCCAAATATCTGATACATTTTCATTGGCCATCCGGAATAACTGCGAGGCGTACAAATTTGTTTCAACGGTAAAGAACTCAAGGAGGGCACGCGTGATGAACAATTGAATATAAGCCAGTGCACTAGTAGGCTTGGGAATTTTCAGTCCAGGATTTCCAGTAAAATCATCAACAACTGGAAAAGTATTGCTACGACTCCAGCCCTTACCAGCCCCAGCCTGCCGAGTACGTTCTGTATGTGTACGCCTTTCAGCAGGCTCGAATGAATCCTCATCACTTTCCTCATCACTTATACTTTCAGAATCACTTGGCGCAATTTGTCGTGTGTTCCTACGACGAGTAACATGTCTGGTCGCTACTTTTCTAGGTAGCCTAGATGCACCACGTGTGCGCCGAGATGGAGGAGGAGGAGGGGGTCGCGGTGCCTCCTCTTCCTCGGTGAGAGCCTCAGTCTCCTCATCACTCGTTGCCGTATCATTCCCTCTAGCTCTAGGTACACTATAATCGTTGTGGGTTCCAAAATCTTCCTCCAATACCTCTACATCACCATCAGCTTCTGATAAATCCTCCACAAGGCCTGGAATTTTTGTTGGTGTGAGCTTCACTCCACTCCACTTCTTAAAAATTTGGGTTATTTTGTCCACTCTCGATGACCTGGAGGCTTCCTTGGGCGTAGAAGTGCTTGGGCCTTGACCTTGATCCATTTTTGATGAAGTAATTGGGTATAATCCACACGGAAACGGGTAAAAATGCTCGAGTTTGGCGCGCGAGGGGAGCGTGATCGACTCACGACACGTGACACGAAAACAATGGGCCCGTCACGTGACCGGGTAGGCCGACGCGCCAGGCGGCCTAGTGGTGAGAAAGAGAACTTCATGGCGCGTCGTTTGAAACAAACCCCAATGAAATCGGATTAAAATTGAATTTTATACAAATATTTTAAAAGAAGACATAACTTTATGTCCACTATGCGTTTACGTTAGACGAAACCGGACGCGCCGGCGCGTCCAGATAGCGCGAAAGTGTTAAATACATCTTCAGAAGGTCCTTCTGAAGATGTATGGACCTTCTGAAGATGTATTTAATATACGAAAGTACTTAAGGAAATTTCCTGTTTCATTTTTCCTCCGTGGTCTGACATTGTCACATTCTTAATCACGTGTTTATTTTCGTGATATACACACATATATATATATATATATATATATATATATATATATATATATATATATATATATATATATATATATATATATATATATATATATATATATATATATATATATATATATATATATATATTAAATATGACCGAAAAAGTAAGATTAATAATTCTAACACGAATTTTCTCAATACTTCTTATGTTTCTTATCAGTTGCATATAGTCCTGGGGACCATTCAGGCTTGTTCGCATTTGTGTTCCTCACGTGTGCCCCAAAGATTGAGGTGATTTGCTAAAATGCCCTGCATTTTATATATATGACACTACTGGAAATTTTTTAGAGGAAGGCAGAAACAGAGTAGAAAATATAAGAGAGAGGAACATTCAGATGGAACCACTACAGGATTACAGAGGGGAAGGGAGATACCCACAAGACTGAAATACAAATTATCAACAAGCACACAGGTACTACACTACACAACACCTGTCCTACTACCAAAACTGGACGAATCACTTCAAAACAACACACCCAGGACCTGGGTAGAGTGGGGGGAGAACTACCAAAGCCCACCAAAAATGACACGCCATGTGGGAAATCATTCATATTTGCAAACATACAAGGCTTGAAACCAAAATCGAGAAATAAAGTTAAGTTCATAAAAGGCCTCCTAATAGAATCGAACTCAATATTTGGTGCATTTACAAAAACCCACACAAAAGACCACATGGATAGTAAAATCTGGATTCCAAATTATAATCTATATAGATGTGACAGAGTAATTAGGTCAAGTGGAGGAGTAGGTCTATATATTAAAGAGGAGCTGGCATGCAGAGAGCTCCTGAACTCGTCCAATGAGGTGGTAGAGGTACTTGGAATCAAGGTAGAAAATACAAACCGCCAGATGCAACAGTTGAGGAATTCGCCAAACAGATCCACAAAATAGAGAATATCCTTGATAACCTAGCAAACCCAGTACCAAATATCATCTGCCTTGGAGACTTCAATCTACCCAGTTTAAAATGGAGAATAGTAAACAATAACATTATAGAAGGAAGTCAACCTGGAAATAACCAACCACAGGTCAGAGAACTACTGAGATTCTGTGACAAATTCTCGCTCAGTCAGCAGATTACAGAACCAACTAGGAACGAAACCACGCTGGACCTGATATTCACGAACAATGAGGAGCTAATCAGAGACATTACTGTCTCAGACACTACATACTCGGACCACAAGCTCATTGAAGTGCAAACTAACATTAATAACGGTAGTAGGCCCAAGAAAAACAACAAGCGAGAAGGGTTATTCAATAAATTCAATTTTAATAAT